TATCAAAAAGCATGTGAACACATCAAAGCAAATCAACAAAAGCATGAAATGTACCCAAAACCCGTCGTCCAAGGTATTCAAACCTAGGAGCTCTGATACTATTTGTGATGGCCCAAGTTTTTCAACCCGGTGCGTTAGTGTTGAACTGAAAGTTGATTCGATAACGGATCCAAAATGCGGAAGCAAAAGATAAAACCAAGTCTATAGAGATATAAATCATCCCTAAGACACTAAGGTGACCTTCCATGAAGTCACGTAACTCAAAGGAAACGAAAGCGGAAACAAAGGTCAAAACGGATAAAATCTCTTAACCAAGGGGCAAAATGGTTAATTTACAAATAAAAGGAGAAAATTGACTCAAAACAAGTCAAATAAGGGGAATACAACTTAATCTAATCATATCACAACATTCCAAGAGGTTTCAAGAACATTGGCCAAGAATCCTACAAAAATGCCCTTTCCCGGTTAAAGCGAAAACCGACACTACCTCACTAAAACTTGAATAACTCCCACTGTGATTTGAATCTGAGAATGGCATTGATACCATCGGAAATCTGATTCAAAATCTAAGAATTTAGGCCCAAGAATCACCCTATTTGGAGTAGAAATGAAAGAGTTATGACCTTTTGAAGTTGGAATAATAGTGTTGAAACAAAACTGAAAAGACAGCTGAATGAGGGCTATTTCGGTTGACCGAACTGGAGTTTCGGACGATCGAACTAGGCAAAAACCAGTCTGAAAACATATTTTTGAAGGGAGGTTGTTTCGGTAGACCGAAATAAACCATCGGTCGACCGAACTAGGCACAAACGGTGAAAATGGCTACTGGAATGAGTGTTTTACTGTTCATTAAAGTTTCCTAAAGCCATCGGTCGATCAAAATGGAGTTTCGGACGACCAAAACTCCTCGAATCCTGCTGAAAACTCTACTAAACATGTGAGATTTGCAAGTGGACCTATAGGATTCATTCCACCCACATGGATAAGTCAAAAACTGATTCCTTTAAAGGGAGATTAAGCATGTGAACATACACGCAAATGTAAAATAGTATTTTAAACATGCTATAATGGCCTACGGCTTCATTACATTTCATTTACAAAATTTGACATGCCAAATCTCAAAGTTAGGAAAATTACATTTCAAAGACAAGACTTGAAATTTAAAAGCATGCACTTGACTTTAAAGTTTGTGGCCTTCGGCCTCAAATCATACATATCAAATAGGTTCCAAATTGTGTATCTAAGTACACTTTACATATCATAAGGCAAAAATGACATAATTGAACCTAACTAAGTATTACAACATCAAAAGTAAAACTTAAACATGCTAACACTTGCATATGAACAAGAACACTTTAAAAGAAACTTCAAATCTCCCAACCACCCAAGGCAAGTGCAAATCTCAGAATCTTGGATCCTATACCTGAAAAATGTCCATACTACGTGGGTGAGTAATATAAAGTTACTCGTAGAAAATGAGCATACATCGACCTAACATTTTATAATTTTATTACCTTAAGGTGAAACATGTTAAAGGGCTCATGCCACCTAACGTATATGTCAAGGGTGAGACTCAGGGAGCATCCTAAACTACCCTAGATCATTTCTAGCATAAATCACATCATCCATGTAATTCAAACCACATAGAAGCATGCTATACAAAACAACAAGATATAGATTTTCAAAGTTATCAACTTGAAATCTAAAGTACGAAAAAGACAAAAGTGGGTCATGCCACCTAACGTCTATGTTCCAAATGAATCTATAGGATCATTCCTAAGCAACATTTGAACAACAAAATACGAATCACAATATCTATGCAATTTAACTAACATAGAAGCATGCTATACAAAACAATAAGATATAGATTCTTAAAGTCATCAACTTGAAATCTAAAAGTGCGAAAACAACTAAATATAGCAATTTAATATAATTAGAATTTCTAATACCACACATCAAGACATAGATTCTCTAGGTTATCAACTAGAAATCTAAAAGTACAAAATCAAATAGTGGAAGACTTGGACATCACGCTCGGAATTCTTCCGAGACCTCAACGGTTATTCCGGGCGTTAACCCGCTGGGAAGACCACCCTAGTACGCATTATCTCAATTGGGAGAACTCATACCTCCCGCACTATAGCCAAACTCTAGCCATATCATAGTAACAATGTCCCAAGTGACTCCAAAATAATAAGTTAACAACTTTTATATGTATTAAATGGTACACGAAACTACCTTCATGCACAAGTAGGTTGAAACCACACAATACATGTTCTAAATCCACAACTACTATAGGATGACAATGTCGAATCTTTAGAGTGCGATTCGTTACACGCTATAATAACATCACATGTCGAATCTTCAGTATGCGATTCGTTACACGCTATAACAATATAATCCAATATTGAAAACATAAACTCATAAATCCATTACAAGTCTAAAATTATGCTTTAAACATAATACCAATGTCAAACACATGATTTAAATCAATAACGCAATAGAAACGGAAATTAGTCAAGTAAACTAATTAATTTCTCTAAGTTTCAATCTCAACCAAATGGTCCCTAATTAATACATGTTATACAACACAGCATGGTCACTGCATATACCAAATCAAAAACTTAATTAGGCCATTCGAACAATAAAACAGAATTTAATTAAATCATGATGATCAAATCCCTAACTTCTAAAATAACATCAAATGGTCTCAAATTAACATATGCTAGTATACAAGTCCTAGTCATCACAAATATCAAATTAAAACACAATTAAGTCAATGGAACCTTTAAAATAGATTTTAATTAATCCTTTTAATTAAAATCTTTAGATTTTCATACTTATCCAAATGCTCTCAAATTAAAATATGTTAAAGAACATGCCAAAACTTAATTTAAAAGCATGTTACAAGTTAATTTCATGTAAGGTACATCCATGAGAATTTAACTTTCATAAAAGATAATTATTAAATAAAAAGTGTTATTTTTATTCAAATAATTCTAATTTAATATATGTTAACAAACATATCAAAGTATAATTTATCATCATGCCACAATTCAATTCTAAGCTATATACATCCTTGTAGATTAAATCTTATACAAAGAAATAAATATTACTAATATTCTAGATTTGATACAAGGCATGCAAACAAGTTGTATAATCATGGAAAACACTCAATATAACTCATACAAAAATCCTAAAACACCCCCTACCTCTATTTGAGATGAAATCTCAAATTCCCACCGAAATGAAACCGCTCTGGATCCGACGAAACTTCTAGGTTTTGTCGGGGACAACACGGTGAATAAGAACCCCAAGGAAGCCCCATCAAAATCACAACTTGACTTCAAACTCGAACTCAAGAAATGGCCAAAATGAGATTCCAATCAGTGGAATCGAAGGCCTCGCCAAGGCGAACATAAAACACTAAGGCACTACGGCGTTTTACTGAGGGGAAGAGGTTCAAAAGAGGAGAGAGAAGGTGGCAGCCCTTGGTTACCATGGAATCCGGCTAAGAGAGGGGAGAGAGAGAGTGAAATCTGATTTTTCACTTAAAGACCCCCTATTTATAGAAAAACTCAAAAAGTGCCTCGAACGGGCCCCGCTAGGTCAGGAAAAGTGAAATTCGCCCAGACGAGCTCAAACAGAAAAACTTCGTGAACGAAAAAGAACCAAAATGAGAAAAAATGAACAACGGAAGAAATGGCGTCGAAAACCGAGTCCCGAGCAGAGAGATATGCCCCAAACAAGTTTGGCGACAACTAGGGTCAGAAACCCTGAAATTGGAGAAAAACGACCAAAAGGAAATTCTAAGAGTACACGACTCGATGAAAAGTGAAAATGAATTCCGTACGAGAATTCAGGCTCAAACACAAGACATTTAACAATAACTTTCATTAATTGCACAATGGCCCCTCCAAAAAGTGAAAATTGGACTAATAACCCAGAATGAAAATATCTTTCCAAAATATTTTCTTAAAAACCCCTAAAATAAAATATCTTCAAAAGATATTTACCAAAAAACACACCAAGAAAAGAAAATGTTTCTGAAGAACCGTGCATCTATACCCTTACGGACACCAGGAGCAACCAGAGTACTTTACTGCAAAAGTAAAGATACGTATTTCGTGAAAACCACTTAAAATGAAGATACGTGAAGTCAAAAACCAACTCTGAACACAAAAAGTGTGGTTATGCCAACAAAGTGACAAACGGGGAAAAGTCGAAATAGGAAAAATGATGAAAAATGAATAGCGTCCGAAAAATGAAAATATGAAAATGACGCGGTCCTCAAAAAAAGTAGTCAATCCAAGGAAAAGAGTCTCGGAAATCATTTCGAAGCACTCAAGACGACATTATGTGACAAGAAACTTAACTCAGAAAAAAAAATATCAACAGAAAAAAAAAATATCCATGAAAATCTGAGAAAATGAAAGGAAGGAAAATGACCGGGTCATTACATAAATAAAGATAAATCAGTTATGAAGCTTATGATCTATTTAGTGTTTACTACTTTACTGATTAAGTTTCCAAACATGCAACATTGCATCACTTTCAGCAAATTGCACAAATAATAAAAACCCAAATAGATTAAACCAATTTTAATTTAGCAAATCAACAAACCTTAGCTAATGAACTTTCAACCAAAAAACCCTAAATCAATCTTGAAGCTCATGATCTGCATAGTGTTTACTGATTGAGAGTATACAAACATGCAGATTGCATCATTTAACCAAATTGTACAAATAATAGCAACCCAGATATATTAAACCAAATTTAATTTCGCAAATCAGAAAACCCTAGTTAATCAAATTGCAACAAACAAAACCTAAACAGTTACGAAACTCGTGATGTGCTTAGTGTTTACTGATTGAGTAATGATACCTAGTGAATATATGTTTACATGTTCTTATTCTAGGTTGGAGTAATGATACCTTGTGAATATATGTCAACGGTTCCAAATTGATGGTAGTGGTTCGTTGGTGGGTGGTGGTTGAGATATGGCGGCAACGGTTTTGAAGATGGAGAGCAAGGTAAGTTTCGTCTCATCACTGTTATGGTGGTGGTTCGCCGAAATTTATTGCCGAGTTAGATTTTTAGTGAGGAAACCCTAATTGGTAAAATAAACCAATTGTTTGCGTGAGAAAAACCTCGTAGATTGTGCAGTCCAAAGTAAACCGATCCACTATGTTTGAAACAAAGTACACTGAATTTTAACTCAGGCTCACACCCTATTGTTCTACCAAACACCAATCACTGACAATCCTCTAGCTTTGCGACGTCCAGTCTAACAACACTTGACCTCATACTTATTCTTGATCTTTGTAAAAAGGTTACAGGTAGATCAAATAACACTCCTCGAATGCTTTGACCCTTTCAAAGTGTGATCGTTTTACTTTTGTTCTTTAATATCTGAATTTAATGTAGAAGTAGATATGTTTTTCTCTGATAGTTGTAGATGGAAGACTTTGATCACGATTAGGATTTGAACAACACTCTGAACTCACTCTTGTGTTTATGTGTATGTTCTAGAAAGACTGACAGAGAAATCAACTTGGATTTTCTACAAAAATAATATTCCTAAGGGTTACTAAACCTAGATATATATGAAGGTTTATGTAGAATATTCAAAGACCCAATCCTTCATAAAATAAAGGAAAACTCGTGCATAGGACTTTTGGTAATATTCTAAACCAACTAGGAAGTTTGAAACAGAACATGACAAAATTACCTTAATCTGAAACAGCAGTGGTGCCAGTAACCAATATGTGGAACTGGTTCCAAATGGACATAATGGTGTTATTCGAATCCCTTGTTCTTGAACCGGTTCCCAAATGTTGGTGCCAGTTCCCACTTGACAGAATTCTAATATGACTTGGAAAACTCTGTTTTTGGTAATTTCGAAAAACATACCATGTAGGTATTATGTCCTAAGTGGGAAATGACTTCCTAAATGTGTTGTTCTTTCCTGTTTCGATAATCTCAGTATTTCATCTTCGAACAATCTTCCAAATTTCGCAGTCGATGTCGATCTTGATATGGTAATTTGAAATTACAACTCGATCATAACTTGTTTTGACATCTAAAATTGCGAAAAAAAATTTCATCTAAAATTGCCAATTACAATATATATATCTCACATGTGTGTGTGCCTATACCTATATACCCTATAAAAGCATATTCAATTTACAATATTTATATACATTTTAAAACACTTAATCTAACTAAAAAATATTATTACGTGACTTTTCAATTTCCGTCTACGTTGTTATACACTTTTTTATTCCAAAATGTTGCACCGTTTACGATTTCAACATATTCCTTAAAAATACACTTTTTAACTACTAGCACTGGTTTGTAAAAAGGAAAAAAAAATTCTTCAGACTTTTATATATTTTGAGTTTCTTTCAAACTCAAATACTTTTTATATTAAACATATTTTCTTTCAGGAAGAGTTGTTGTCCTGTTAAAATATATCACCTCTCAATTTAAATTATTTTATATTTATTATTATTATTATTTTGAAAAAGTACGTGCTTTGATTCTTCAAAACTATTGAAAGTATGGGTCGATCATATAAAAAAAGTAACGGATATTTCAACGCCCTAAATTATACACTTTCTATCTCTCTCTTTTCATCTTTCTATGCAAATTTTTTTGTGAAAAATTATTAGATGTTTTATTCAGGGTCACCTTTGAACCGCTTTTGTTGGAATCACGTCCTTGATTAGTGTGCATCAAATTGGTTTTCAAAAAGTTAACAGTAAAACTGGAAAAGACATATCCTTTCATGAATAGGTGTGCAATGGCCTATAAATAGTAGAGTAATCCAATAATTTTCTAACCTAACTTCCCTCGTCCATGCAAACAATATACTATCTCGAGATATATATTTATCTTGAATTTATGGGCAACATAATAATGGAAGACTTGATAAATATTCTTCAATGAATGTGACAATTTTGAAGCATTTCATAGTCCAGACTCTCCAACATGCTAGAAGTTTCTTACTCTCTCTTATTTTAATATATTTTTATTGATATTTTATTGAACTATTATTATTATTTTTTAATGCTTTATTTATAGTATTTATATTATGCTATAACTAGATGTTTCGGTTTAACTTCATTCTGATTATATTTAATTAAAAAATTCTCATTCCCAGCTTATATAATGTGTTTATTATTCCGTGTTGCTTTTCTGTTTAACTCGTTCCTTTCATGTTTAATTTTTTAAGATATTTGTTCTTTTATATGCTTTGCCTAATTCTTATGATTCCATTATTTATATTTGGAAGTCTCTTCCATGAAGATTTTTGGAAGTATGTTTCATGAAGATTTAGGATTAAGAATATTGAAAAATTAAGAAACTCTTTAGAGTTAAATTTAGAAAAAAAGGGTATTTAGTTCGACCAAATTAATATATATATATATATATATGTATATATATTTGTAATATGCGTATTACATATACATATATATGTGTGTATATATATCATCAAAAGCTAATTTGTATTTACTTCTATTGATTTTTTTTATAAAAAAAAAAAAAAAATCATGAATATCATCTTCCATTAACGAAAAATTATTTCATCCCAATACATCATATTCTTCTAATAGAAACTCACATGAAAGTCACGTTTTTTTTTTAAAGAAAGTGTCATAAACTAAAACTCTTTTTCTTTTTTCACTCTTTTTCTTTACTGCTAAGACTGATTGACTAAATTTAAACTCTATGCTGCATCAAGCAGTGCAAAAACAAATTTTTGCTAGATTCTTTCGTAATTTGAGAGAAGTTTTACAATCCTAGACTAAACACTCTCTTTGAATAATAAATTACCAATATTAATAATAAATTAATAAACGTCTATCTAAATTAAAATCTAAAAGTTGTGTTTATTCAACCAACGCAATAAAAAGCTCATAACATTCTTGTAAATAAAATTTTTCAATTTACAAATAAATTTAACTGTGACTATACAATCTCTTTCATCTATTTTTTTTTAAGCTTTTCATGTTCTTTCCTTTCACAAAAATCTACAACCCTTTTATATGTTCTCCAGACAAATTGTAGTTGTCTATTAATTTATGAATAAATCATAATACTTATTTTATATCATCTATTTTTAGCCTCTTATATACTTTTCTTTCACAAAAATCTATTTACGTACTATCGATGAATTTTAATAGTTTGGAAAATAAATTCCGGTGTGTCTAAACAAATTTATAGGTCTCTATATAATATGTTATCATGTATATTGTATTCTTTTCAATCATATAAAACAAAATAATAATAATAATAATAATAATAATAATAATAATAATAATAGATATAAGACGTGCAGATATAATTATTTAATTTTTATTGAAAGTTTTGAAATCTATTGATATGAAAATATATAGTATTTATAAACGTTATTGTTATATTTTAATACGTCATATGATTTGATATAATAAATCTCTTGTATAATTGATTCAATAGCTTTTTCATTACTTTGCGAAATAAAATTATATTATTCAATTGTTCGGTTACAAATACCACAAGAATATTAAGATTAATGATTGACTTAGTGAGTTTTAATTCTTATTTATCTTAGAGATTAATAGTCAATTAATCAAATAGTGCTCGAATAATGATTGATAACTTAAAATTTTGAACTTATTTTACTCTAAAATTATAAAAATGCATAAACCAAATTAATTAAGCACTTTTATTTGCAAGTTATCATCAATTATTTTTAATTTTATTTTAATTTTTTCTTTTTCCATTTGATTTCCAAATTATTTTTATTTTTCACTTGAGTTATTTTACTATCTCGAAATATAATTAAGTTATAATTACGTGTATTGCACGTGGTTTTATTTAGTATATATATCTATGTATACAGAGAGAGTAGTGAGAGAGGGTCGCCCTGGGTTTGCTGGTATACAAATGACAGGTCTGAATGGCGGCTCCAAATTTTTGCGAAAGATTTGGGAATGGAGTGAGAATGAAAGAGTTCATAGAATTGATATGTTTTTTTTTTCTTAGAGAATTGAGAAATTAGGGATGGAGAAATAGTTCAGAGAATAGCGAGAGAACCGAGTATGAGAGAGAGAGATTGAGCCACTTACGCATTCGACGTCGGTCGATTCTGAGTCGGGTTGAAAAATTGTCGTCAAATTTAGCATTTCTATATATATATATTTAAAGGAATATAGGTAGTTCAATTATTTATTATAATAACTTAAGAGTATTTTAATAAATTAAACAGTTCAGTTAATTTATTTGATGGTCCGTACTAGCAAAATAGGTCTGCGTAGATTAGTTTTATTTTTAAGGGAGGTAGATGTAAATTTTTAAATCGTTCATAATGTAGGTTCAGCAATTCTGCATTATCTCATGCATTAATAACCAGTAGGTCCAGCAATTTTGCTTACTCTTCCGCTAAATTGAGTTATCACCATTATTTCACTAAATTGTGGCTGAAATTTCGATTTATAAATTGAAGTATTCATCATAGAATGATTAGATTGTTGAGGATGGATCCAAATGTCTCTCCTCATCGACCGATTTCAAATGCATTGCTGTTTCTCTCTCTATGTATCTAGTTGTGTGTATATAATCTCTATTGTTTGGTTATTGAATTGATTGACAGCATGGCTATAATTTGCGGCCGAGGCCAAGGTTACAGAAATTGGTCAATGATGATCGACATTTCGATCCGTTGCCTCACGTTGAACAGGAATCTGCCGATGAGGTGAGACATTTCTCTCCGGTGCCTCACGGTGAGAGCGGAGATGATTCGATTACATCAATCCCATTTCAGGTATTTGATTTTGATCTCTTCAGTTATATATATATATATATGATGGGTTTTGTTCTAAACTTGTGGTTTGGTAGGAATGAATGATTTGTAAGTACCGGATTGTTTTATGCTTAGTTCAAATGGGTTGTGTGCGCTATTTTATGTTTTAAGAGTGTGGCAAATGTAGAATTATTCGAGACAGCAACACACACATATATTTACATACATATATGATATGTTTTATTGTGTACTTGTGGTTTGGTAGGAATGAATGGTTTGTAAGTATTGGATTGTTGTATGCTGAGTTCAAGTGGTTTGTGAGTCCTATTTTATGTTTCAAGAGTGTGGCAAATGTAGAATTATTAGATACAGCAATGCTCGCGCTAGAAATCCGCTGTTTAGTTTTGCAGTTTAGCCTAGTACTTGTATCACATTTTATCATTAAATATTACCCGATACCAAAATTATTGTATACAGTTCTTATGTAATTTGAACGAGTGTAATTTTTTAACAAACCATGATCTATCTCAGCGAGAAGAGCACAGTGTTAAACTATTCTTGAAGTGGATTTAGAGAAAAACTACAATCAAACATTGATATCAAGTTAATTTATGCCGCGAATTATTAGTTGGCATTTTTTTTCCCCCTGAATATTAGTTGAAATCAAGCTACAAAGGGAAATAATAATAAGAAAAAAAAAAAAGCAGTGTTTTCTTGTTTCTTTCATGTCATTGGTCTATGACATTGTTCTGTGGGCTTCTTGATTGCATGCTAAAGCTCTCGGCTTGTTTTGATTGTGTAGTACCATATGATCAATTGTGACAAAATTGTAACTTTGTGGTTGGTTCTAAAAATGCATTGTCCCCACACCCCAACCTCCCTTTTTATTGTTACATATCCATTATCATTGCAAGAACTTATGTCAAAAGTGCTCATTGCTTAGAAAGATTGGTTAATTGTTTTCATTTTGCACTCCAACATGCCTATTCAACAGTTTTGCAGTTCAACATGTTCGATATTTGAAATTTAACTAGCCCATTGCGCAATTGCCTTGTCTTTTAAATGATCTCCTATGACTTCATCATAATGTATGCTTCCTTAAAGCTATTGTCCACTATGTGTTCAAGTAGCTCTTACATGGAGATGCTTGTTCGCAACAATAAAGTTCCTTGCAGGGACTATTATGCTAATTGGTACTTGGTAGTAGTCCCTTTGGTTAGAGGGAAAAAAGTGGCTGGAAGGAAAGAAAACAGGTGACATGTTCCATATTTGGTAGGAGGGAAAGAAATAGGAGGTTTTGAATATTGTTTTACCATCACACCCCAAGCTATATAAGGCATAATTGATAAACAATAGAGAATGAACCTCCGTCGAACCTTTCTTCATTTGAACTAAAAGAAGCCGGCAGATCGAATGGCATATTCAAAAGGGTGATACTTTATATGCTTTAAATTCCTGTATCAATTCATATGAAATTAGGTAACTCACGAATAAGTATGTCTTTCCGATTTTATCCGATAAACATCCTGATTTTTCTTTCCTCTCCTTTGAGTTTTGGAAATAAGCAAATTGGCGGTGACAGAAAGATGACTTGTATCCTCTCATTCCTCCCTCTCCTCTTTCCCCTTTCTTCCCTCCCACAAAACATAATATTTAAGTTACCCACATATGTAACACCATATTTTTTTTCTTTGCATTTCAATGTAACTTTCAGATATTCATTTAGAACAGTTAACTCTGCATTTTAACTTCCCTCCTCACTCTCTATGCTCTTCACACTTTTTGAAAATTGAATGCTGCTTTAAAACATTAAAGATCATTTTCATGATATAAATACTTCTACTGATTTTAGTCCATTAAACAAGCTTCAACTTGTTTGAAATTTGGCAAAGTTAAGAAATTACTAATAGATGGGATTGTAGAGAGAATGCCATTTCTCTGATTCGTTACAATTTACAAGTACAATGATCTAATTGTGGTTACATGATCTTATCTCTTCTTATGTATTCTAGTGCCAAATGGTTGTCTATATGGTACTCTTTTATCCCATTACGTGTTTAAACTGAAACAGTCCCTGTTCGATTTGATAACTTGCCATGTGAAATTTTTGAGAATGCCTAAAATCTCCCTTTTCTAAAAATTTGACCAGTTGATGTAGGACAAGGGTGGGAACTCAAAGAATTCAGAGTCTGAAAATTCTGAAATTTGGAGGCTTGATAGTAGAAATGTAGGAAATCAAGGAGAATAGAATAAGAGCTGTCTCTTTGCATCACACCAACAGAAAACTAATAGAAAAAGCCTATTGGCATCACACTAACAGAAAACAAAAACCTATTGGAATCACACCAATAGGGTATAGGCATCACACCTAGGGAAGGCCTCACAACCTCAGAATTTGTGAATCACTCACAAAGAATCTCAAAAGATATTTTTTATTCATTCATTGACTTAATGATGAGAGTTACATGGTATCCTTTTTATAACAACTGATGACCCTTGGATTACCCTACAATTGAGGTAATCAAAAGTTGACTCTAGCATAATAAAAGTAACAAATAACTTAATTGATGTAATTTGATCTAATTGATGCACTTTACCACAATAATGCAATTTCACCATAATTGATGCAATTTACCAAAATTATGTAATTTGACCCAATCCCCCCAATTATGCAAGACTGCAAGTGGACCCCACTTCACCTAACAATACCAAATCAAGGCTTGAGCTCTAGGATCCTCTTTCCCACGCCTTTTATACATTTTAAAAGTCTGCTTCACTGTCCTCTACTTACTGCCACTGTTCTCTACCAATTCTCTCCGGCTTGGAAAAACTCGACTCTGATGAGTTAAAGGGATGAAATTGCTCATAAGTGTGAAAAGAGCAAGAAAATTTCAGTCTTGTATTCAGCAATTTCCATAATTTGCACCAAAAAACAACACATAAACTTTAGAGCTCGATTAGAAATAATAGTGTTGTGCAACCCATGAAGTCAGACAACTTCTTGAAAATAAGGTTTGGCATCGTGGATAGCATTGGAAGTCTTAGAACACAGAAGGAAATGCACCTTTTTCGAAAAATGATCCAGAACAATGATTATAGCACCACGCCCTCGACTAATTCTAGGCAACCCCAGAACAAAATCAGCATCTGACCTAGGGATGGCAACGGGGCGGGGCGGGGATTCCATTCCCCATCCCCATCCCCATCCCCGCTTAAAATTTCGCCACCATCCCCATACCCGCCCCCGCCCCCGACCCCGACTCCTTATCCCGGTCCCGACCCCGGCCCCATAATTTTTTTTATTAAAAAAAAAAACACATTTTTTCTTATTTTAATTTAGTAATAAATTATTATATGTAAGGATATATTAGTAACTTCACACTTAATCGGGGCGGGGCGGGTTTACCCCATCCCCGCCCCCTCCCCCGGCCGCAGCAGGGATTCATAACTTGCCCCCATCCCCGTCCCCGTTTAGCTAAAAGGATCCCCATCCCCTCTATAGACGGGGCGAGGCCCCGGCGGGGATGGGGAATTTGCCATCCCTAAATTCTGACCCATCACCTCTGATACCAACCCCATGGCCAGTACCACGTCGAAAATCAAGGCTATCCTTCTACGAATGTATTCGAGCAAGAACATAAAGAGCAACCTAGTTGGTTCCATCTAGGTACTCTGTTCCCGAATCGAATGGACAAATGCTGTTTGGATCAAGTCCTAAACATGTTTTCTCCTCTAGTTTATAATGTATAATTGCTGCATTAGGACGAACTGAGGAAATAGTAGGAAAACTTAACCCTCTAAAATGCTCTTTTGATGCGCGAGACCCCTCTAGCTCATCACTTACAGGAGTAGTTTCTTCTGGCAGTTGGTTTTTCCAGACCTCTTCTACCAAGTTGGTGGATATTTGAACCAGCTTCTGTTACTTCTTGGCACAAGCATGCTCCCATTTCTTTGCAGTGCCCACTAATATACACCAAGTATCTACTCCAATAGCCGCATCTTTTGGCAGATTGGGAATAGAAGTACTATCTATCCAAGCCGCTTTGAATGGTTGTGGATATGGTTTGATGAAAAATTTGAGACGCTTAACCATGGCTGTGGAGACATCATTTGGGCTGCCACCGCCATGGCTGTGGAGACATCATTTGGGCTGCCACCGCCATCAATAATATACTTACGAGCTTGGTTTCCACAATGAACTTGCATCTGAAAATTAGAGTTAAGCTGCCCATCTTCGTCTTCAACTTCAGGGTCTTCAAGGATTTGGGCTGTGGAGAGTTTGAGATGCTTAACCATGGCTGTGGAGACAACATTTGGGCTGCCACTGCCATCAATAATAGGCTTCTGAGATTGGTTTCCACAAAGAAATTGCATCTGAAAATTAGATGTGAGTCGCCCATCTTCGCCATCAACTTTAGGGTCTTCAAGGATCTGTCTCGCAATAGAGATGGATGGAACATTATCTTCGTCCTCTTTTAGATCATCAGTATTGTAGGTTCCAAGCAGGTTCTCATTAACCTTGCTAGCCATAGCACTCTTTCCTTCAGGGTCAGCCATGTTAGATAAAGATGGTTTTGATCCATCATTTGGCTGCATTGTTGCTGTTCGAGTGCTGCAATTTCCATCACTTAAGTTCCTCATAATCTTTCCAGTATTATCATGGGTCTCATGATGATTCACCTCTAGCTGATTTCTTGGAAACTCCAACATGGGATGTAGTGGTGGATCTGCCTTCAAACTACACCATTGCTGAGGGTTTAAATGCAGTTTCTTGTTCAAGGGCTACTGATTTGTTTAAAGGCCGCGAAATTCAAGCTCCTATCTCACAACCTTGATTCCCTCCTCCCCCTCCAAACCCCACCCCAACCCCCGAAAAAAAAAAAAAAAAAAATCCTCACATTTGTCTTTCCCTCTTAAAATTTCTTCTTACACTCGTATGATATATGTGCATCACTCTTACCAGTATTTCACCTTTCATGAAGAGTGTTCTGCACTAATACAGTTGCTTACCATAAACGCAAGGAAAGAACCGTTCTTTTTATTTATTCATTTGGGCTGGAGCGCCTTTTGGATGGTACAAATTACGAGTTCGCTTCCAAAAAGTGAGTGTTGACTCTGATCCACCAGCATCCACTACCGAAAGGAATTGCCTGACGTACCGCCTACTCTTATTCCCATCGATATGCCCGGAAACAAGATTTTTCTTTCTCTCATGCCCTTTCCTTAAGCCTATAAAAGATATAATGTTTCTTCTGCCCTACCACTTTCATTGCCCGTAATCCTTACAGCTAATTCAATTCAATGTGAAATTAAGGAATGTAAATTTGAGATCTTGAATTATAACCCTAAAGGATCAAGTCGAATGGAATTACAAAGAATAAAAAGTTAGGGTTTTGTATATATAGAACGAAGAACCTCGAGAGGGAGGCTCATGAAATCATCGGAAGGGTTTGACTGCATCTCCTTGACCTCCTGTAGAATCCTCTTCACAGCTGGATTCTTCAGGTTGTACTTGTCCTCCACCCCTCTATAAATAGTAAGCCTACTCTTTTCCTTCTCTTTTGTTGTCACATACGAATATGTAAATGGAGCTATGATCGCTATGAACCGATTCTTGTTTTCATGCTCCCCTTGGTGGAAACTTGTTTAATGATGCAATGGTATGTTTTAAATGGTATTTTAAGTCAATTATGATGAATAGGAATGTTGGTTCATGAACCTAGTATGACTGAATGTGATTAGTGATATTTAGACGTTTGAATTTGGTAAAGGGATGTATATGCATATATTTTCAATTTTGAGTACCTAAAGATAATGAGGTGCTAGCAGGTTTATCTATCATACTTAAGTTGGTTTTGTGCATTAGAGTCAAGTATTTTAATTTCCTAAGTTGTACCCTAATTTTTTTTGATAAGTAATAATTAAATAAGAAGGCGTTCAACTGAGGAACGCGTCCCTTATACAAAACTGGAACCGGGGTCTAAGGCCCCAAAGAATCCAAAAAAATGATTAAATCGTCGGAAGAGGAACATGACTTCCTCTTCACGTAACTGAAAAGAGAGCGAATGATGTGAAGTTTCAGCATCGCCGTGGATGACTCTTTCCCTTCGAACATTCTACTTTTCCTCTCCTTCCATATGCACCACCAAACACAATGTGGAACAATTCTCCAGTAATCGCGAACACCACTTCTCACACAGCATCCTCTCCAAGCATGAATCAAATCCTTAGAATAATGAGGCATAACCCAACGCATACCAAACACACCAAAAATAAGATTCCAACAGTTGCTCACCACATGACAATGCATGAGAATATGATCAACTGACTCACCATCTTGTTTGCATAGGCAACACCAGTTAACAAAACAGTTGCCCCTTTCCTTAGATTATCAATTGTCAGGATCTTACCCCATACAACAGTCCATACAAAGAATGTCACCATAGTTGGAGCCATAGAACGCCAGATGGTCTTCCACGGAAAATCAACAATATCAAAATTAGATAGACATAAGAATAAGGAATGAACTTCGAAGCAACCATGGGAAGAGGGAATCCATGTCAAATCGTCACTACCTCTGCCAACTGCCTCCTGTCGATGCAGCAAATCCAAAAAAACACATACCTTGTTTAACTCCCAATCTTGAAAAGAACGCCGAAAATGCATGTCCCACGTAATCCCACTACTATCAAGCTGATAATAGTCAATTACGTAGGCATGTCTATCAACTGCAATACTGTATAATCTGGGAAATGTACTAGATAAAGGCTAGTCTCCACACCAAAGATCCTCCCAGAAACGAACACATCTGCCATCACGAATTTTTAATCTGATGTGAGAAGAGAAAGCAACCCATCCCTTCCGAATGGATTTCCACGCCCCTACTCCTCCCACGAGAGAAACTAGACGGGTAGACCAACCACCACTCTCTTCCCCTTATCGGCAAGAGACAAGTCTTCACCAAGGGAGATGTCATTCCCTCCCGTACCGCCACAGCCATTTACCCAAGAGAGCTTGATTAAAGGGAACCAATCTTCTGATACCAAGACCACCCAACTTCATGGGCTTGCAAACTTGTTCCCATTTGACAAGGTGATACTTAAACACTTCGCCCCTTCCGCCCCAAAGGAAATCCCTTTGAATTTTTTCAATCCTAGCAGCAACAGAGCATGGAGTTTGGAACATAGATAAAAAATATGTGGGAAGGCTCGATAAAGTGCTCTTTATAAGCGTAACTTTCCCCCCCCTAGACAAGTATTGCTTCTTCCATCCTGCCAATCTCTTCGCATACCTTAAATTTCAAGTCAAGAGTATGAGAATTGGTCATTTTTCCTTGGATTAATGCTTTTAATTTGGGGTATCATCTTCTGGGATTTGTTTAAATTCATGTTCATCATGTTTCCTATGTATTTTGGGGTTGTTAATGTTCATTTTGGGCCATCAGATCATGTCCATGGTGCTTGAAGGCAGAATTCTGGAAATTTTCTAAGTGTTTAAAACAAACTGCCCTAAATGAACCGGTCCAAAAATAATGGACCCATCCACTGGGGTATGTTGTGTACATGATGTTGAAACCACCCTAAATGGACCGGTCCAAGTGGGGCTAATATTTGTTTGAACTATTTTGAATAGTTTTGCAAGGTGATTGCTTAGGGGCTGTTTGGGTGGCTCCTAAGGGACTTAAAATGGGTTATCTTGGGCATGATTGAGGGCATAAAAGGGGTGTTTGGAAACGAGATTTGGTCTCCTTTCCTTTTTTTCTTTTTTGTCTTTCCTGATAAATTGCAACTTGTTTTACCTTATTTGGAAATATGCTATCATTTTCGTTTTAATTGATATCAAATGTATTTTAGTAATGGTGTCAATAATCATGATTAGGGGTTCTTTTAGACGTGTGGAGTACCAAGTTACATTCTTACTTCCTTTCCTCTTCTTTCCATTCTATAAAAAGGGCGGAACGGATTAATGTGTGAAATTGTTCGATTTATATCCTTTCATTTGTTATAGAAATGTTTGTGGGGTTAAAATGGAATGTTGGTGTTCACCACCATGGTGAGGCTTGGGATCTTGTTAACCTTAGGGGTTGACGGTGTGAGGTTGCTTCCGTATTGAGATGTTCGGTTCCAAATTCGGATTCGTTTCCTTTATTTTATTTTCCTTCTTTTCTCATTAACCAGATCTTTGAGATTAGGGGTGTGACATCTACCAAACAAACAATGGAAGCTACTCCATTCTTCCTCTCCTCACTCCTTCTCCCGTCTTCCTTCTCACAAAACATAATATTTAAGTTATAACAGATGTAGCAAACACCATTTTTTTTTTCTTTGCATTTCAATGCAATTTTCAGATATTCATTTAGAACTGTTGATTCTGTATTTTAACTTCCGTCCTCACTCTCTCTATGCTCTTCACACTTTTTGAAATTTGAATGCTGCTTTAAAACATTAAAGATCATTTTCATGATATAAATACTTCTACTGATTTGAGTCCATTAAAAAAGATTCAACTTGTTTGAAATTTGGCCAAGTTAAAAAATAACTAATAAATGGGATTGTAGAGAGAGAATGCCATTTCTTTGATTCGTTACAACTTACAAGTATAGTGATATAATTGTGGTTATATGATCTGATCTCTTCAGATGTATTCCAGTGCCAAATATTTGTCCATATGGTACCCTTTTATGCAGTTTAAACTAAATTCGTTTTGCTAACTTGCCACGCGGAACTCTCTGCAAAAAAAATTACTATTCGAGGCACTGATGGAACCAGCTTTTGGGTGTGGGGGGGGGGGGGGGGGGGGGGGTGCGGGTGTTGAGGTGGTGCTCAAGATTTTTTGCAGCTAGCCCCTTGAATTTTTTATATTGTATGTATGTAATTTGTGAAATTTTTTAGAATGCCCGAAAATCTCCCTTTTCTCAAAATTTCCCCAGCTCTCCCTTTCTTTTCCTTTTTACTCTTTCTTCTTCTTGTTCTTCAAGTTTCTTCATTTCCCTTAAAATAATTTTGTATTCCCCTTCTTTAGTCAAACCTTGATTACCCCCCACCCTTCCCCAAATTCTTGCATTTTTCTTTTCTTCTTAAAATTTCTTTTTCTTGCTCTCATGTATGATATATGTGCATCTCTCATGCTCGCCAGTTATTTGACGTTTTTTAAAAGTGTTCTGAACTAATACACTTGCTTACCATAAACGCAAGGAAAGAACGGTTCTCTCTATTTATTCATTTGGGCTGGAGCACCTTTTGGATGGTATAAATTACGACTTCGCTTCCAAAAAGAGAGTTTTGACTCTGATCCACGAGCATCCACTACCGGAAGTAATTGCCTCACATACCACCTACTCTTATTCCCATCGATATGCCCGGAAACAAGATTTTTCTCTCTCATGCCCTTGCTTAGGCCTAAAAAATATATAATGTTTCTCTTGTCCTACAGCTTTCATTGCCTTTAAAGACTATCTTTACAGCTTCCTTCTCATTACAAGAACAGCTTTCAGCCTTCATAATTTTCTGCTTTTTTATTTTTTCCCTCTTTTTCCTCTTCAAATTTATACTACAATTTATGAACTTAATGTCTGTATTTATTATTTTGAATTTTTATTTGATGCAATTTTTTGTGAATTGTGACATTCTGTTTGAATCTTGATTACTGCTTTGTTACTGTACTTCTATTTTATGGCTTGCTGTCTTGCTACACTGTTTGTTTTGGAAAAAAAAAAAAAAACTATTATGTTCAATGTGCCCCCTGATATAAATTCCTGGCTCCCTCACTGGTTGGAGGGGGTTTAGATATATATATATTTACTTACTTCTCCATCTTCAAAATTTTTCCCCCTTATGTAGGTTTTGAGCTGGAAACCACGTGCAGTGTACTTTCCTGATTTTGCAACTGCAGAACAATGCCAAAGCATAATTAAAATGGCAAAGAACCGCCTTACACCATCGGCCGTGGTATTACGTGAGGGACAAATAGTAGAAACTAACCAGGGAATCAGGACAAGGTACATAATGTTTTCATATGATCTCCTACACAGTAAATAAATGCACACAGGTGCACACACAAAGTACTTCTATCTTTTTTTCTTTAGAATACTTGTGTGATGGAAAAATATTCTTGCACTAAATGTGTTTACTCAATTCATTTTCTCCAAGTAACCTATTTAAGATAGATATTCAATACTATTAGCTCTTACCTCTCTTTTCAATCAGCTCTGGCATGTTTATAAGGGCATCTGAAGACAAAAGTGGGATTTTAAATGTCATCGAGGAGAAAATTGCAAGGGCCACAATGATTCCCAGAAGCCATGGAGAGGTACTTTTTATTGTTTAGTTAATAATTATCTTTCCGCTCTCCCACTTCTTTTTCTCCCTGATTTAGATATAGGTTACAATATTTATTTTTCCTTTATATGAGTTCATCGCAAAAAAAAAAAATGTCAGGATGCTTTTATAAGTTCATATTTGCTGTCAAACATAACTTGCATGCAATTTCATATGCTGTTTAGTCAAAGTGCCACATCCTTGATCAAAGATGCACAACCAGAGCGACCTTCACACAACGTGGTCATTGTAAACCCCGAGTAAGAAAGTAAAAACATACCAGCATGACACTTGCTCCTTGTAAATGCAGTGTAAGAAAGAAAATAAACCTACTGCCAGGACTTAGGTGCTGTTGATAAAAATGAAAATTCGGCAATGAGAAACTTCAAGTTGAATTACTAATTAGAGTTGCTGATTTTCAGAACTGAAAACTTTAAACGTATATTTGTATGTTAAGATTTAAAACTAATAGCATCTTCCACTGAATTTGTTCATTACTCGGTGATGGATTGATCTCTTACCATTCGGATTATCTTTATGTACAATTTCCAGTTTAAATGGCAGCTAATTATGCATTTCCATACGTACTTAATCTAGGAACTACCAGTTTCAGTTTTCACTACTTAATATCAAGCAACACCTAAAAATTGCATTTTCCTCCATAACTTAATATAACAAATTGTTGCAAACTTGAGACCCCCCCACGCCCAAGTTTTTTTTGCAATTATCCTGACTTGATGTATGGCATTAACAATGAGCTTTGGTATTATGCACTAAATTATGTAATTTTATGTTGCACGAGGGGTTGGACACCTCTACAAGTTCCAAGTAGTGCTCGTGATAGCATGGCTAGGGCTTTGGCACATGCCAATGGGCGTTGACCAAGATGACAAGGAAAGAGCATTTCCAAATGGCAGGGTGGGAACCCCTCAAGCAACCTATGTTTTGTTAATCATTCAATTGCATATAAAAAATAACTATGTAAATGTCTCTTATATTTAAATTAAAATTTAGTATGCTGTTTTTATAGGGAGAAAATGAGAACCAACAAATCTTACGTAAAAATATTCTATTGAACGTGTTTCTCATAGAAATTTGTTCACAAGCCTCAAGTCATTCGTCTACTTCAGTGGTCAATTTGAAGAGGAATGGGATTTTTTTGTCCATGGTGATTGTCTATCACATGATATTTAGGTCAAGATTAATTTTCTGGAAATTTTTCCCTATGTTGTGATCTCTTTTCCATACATAGCAAAGTTACTCTCATGAAATGGAGTAAAGGAAATGCATTTAAATGTCTGTTCCTGTCAATTTTTGCGCTATGGAGTTTATATTTGCAGTAAGCATTTGAATCACAGTTGCTGTTGGAAACATGGAGCATATCTCAGTTTATGGTGTCAACAATGCTTCTTGTTGAGCACCAACTCCCCCCAAAGTTTATGTGGTTACAAAAGTTGTAGCTTAATTGCTTATATCATCTAAAACGCCACCCAACATATGATCAGAACTAACATGAGTAGGTGAAGCATGTGTATCAATCATATCCATCATGGTAGGATGAGATTCAAGCGATGAGATTCATGTTGGAGACCTTGCTCTAATGCCATGTTAGACAACCAGTTGTCCTCCTCTGATGCCATGTTAGACAACCAGCTGTCCAAAAGCTTAAGCTGTTAAGAAATGCTCCAAATTTTATATATTTCAAGCTCTCATACTCTGCTTCATGTATGACCTCATCTTGCACGCGTTGAAGCAATTAGACAGGTAAACAAAATGCATGTAAACTTGTACAAGCAAACATAAAAGGAGAAGAAGAGAGACCTAAAAGGTTGATGTGCCTGATATTCCACCATCTATCTTATTTACGATTTTATAAGTATTGTTCTCAAGGACAAACATCTAATTAAGGGCAAGCCTTGTTGTAGCCCTTTTTCATATTGAATACAACTCCCCTGAGGGAAAGCCATTGGGTTCTAATACCATGTTATCAACTAACTCCTTTAATAGTCTACATTGTTAGAGAGGGTATATGTTAAATATTCATATTTTCTAACACATCTTATTGCATTCTAAATAGTAAAGCCATATGCGGTTCAGTTCCAGGAAAAAAAACCATGCCCGTTTTCTAAATAATCAATGCCATGAATTGCATTCACCCGAGTGTTTTCCATAGTTTTTTTTTTTGTTGCTAAATATGTAATTATATTACTGTCTTTTCAATTGAATTAGTTAACCTTTCATTTCAGGGGATTCTAATTTTTTTTACGAGTAATTTAAATTTTGAGGATATCATCATGTTTCAGGAATTCATTGTCTTGAGCTACGAGGTTGGGCAGAAGTTTAGCTGTCATTATGATACATTCAGTCCTGTTGACAAACAACAAAGCCAAAGGGTACACGTTAATTAAAATTATAGATACTTTTTGAGTGATTGTGTATTTACTGATCGTAGAAATTTTCCTATAAAAATAAATCATTTGTTTACTGCATGTGGAAATTTGTCTTATAAAAACTATTATGTTACATGGATTTGGGTACGAAAATTGGGTGCAAATGTGTGTCCAAGTGTTGGACATCCCTTAATTCCAAATCCTAGGACATGATAAAATGTGTCCAAAAGTTGGATACAGGTATGTAGACATGTACTATGCATTTGAATACATATGTATTATATAAGTAGTGTAACGTTTGAAATATTGTTGTTTTTAATTTAATGGCATGTGGTTGGGGTTTCTATCTATTTAGGAATAGAAATTCTCCTTCGCTATCAAATTTGAGTTTTTGTTTCTTCAATTTGGGTTAGTGTGTTGGGCACATCCCATACTTTGTCATGTGTTGTATCGGCGCAGGCATCCCATACTATGCTAGCTGGACTTGGATATGTCTTTCAGGTTCTGGTAGGGATGGCAATGGGTTGGGTTTCCCTAAACCCTACCCCGCTCCGTTTAGCAAAACACTGTCCCGTCCCGGATTCCTTCTCGCAACCCATCCTCATTTATAAATGGAAGAGTTAGTTAACCCTGTAAAAGCTATTGTCAATGTGGTGAGGAGAAAGAAGAAAATAGGTATGGCACAATTTCAGATTGAAAAAGAATAAAAGAAAAAACACAAAATAATACACAACATCCAGGTGCTCTGTAACATCAGGATAAAAAACTCAACAAAGAGAGAGGAAGATTGTCACCAATCGTCTGGTCCACGGTCAACAACGTTAGCTGATCGTCTGGGATTGAGTGGTAAGGAACAGTGATATGTATGGTTGTGCGAAGGACTGATAGATGAGGTTGATCATGTGAGATGATAATGAAATAGTGCGAGATGAGGATGAGATAGTGAGAAATGCGGCTGAGCGGCTGTGATGAAATGTTAGAACCCTAGTTCCTTCTTATATATATAGGGATAATTTAGTAATTGTTAATAGGTATACGGGTAAAACTGTAATACTGTCATATAATTGGGCGGGCTAAACAAAACACGAACTTGATACGGGTTTTGTTGCTATATCTCATACCCGTCCCTATGGGACAAAATGATTCCCATACTGGTACCATTAGGGGTGGGGAGGGGCGGAAACCCGTTAGAGTGGAAGAAATTGTCATCCCTAGGTTCTGGTATTCTATCCAAGAGCTAGACATATTAAATTCTTGAACAGAAGGACACATGGACATTGTTAAATATTCATATTATTGTTTGGTTTATAAAAGTTGGCTTAGAAAATATATGTGTGTGTATATATATATATTCATATTATCTATAACATTTTTTTGCTTGTCACTGAGTACTTTTGTCTTTTTGATATTCAAGATTGGATGGGGACCATCTTCTTTTGCATTGCTCCATGGCTAAGGATTGTTGGGATTTGATGCTTGGCTTGTTTGGGTTCCAGTGGGTCATGCCTCATTCCGCTAGAGAGCTGGTTGAGGCTTGGAGAGGGTGTTTTGTGGCGGGCCAAGTTCGTGATGCTTGGAGGGCTACTCCTCTCTGTGTGTGATGGTGTATTTGGCTTGAGAGGAATAGGAGATATTTTGAGGGGAAGGAGAGGCCTATTTCTTTTCTTAAGTTCTCTATTGTTTCCACTCTTTTTTGTTGGGTCTCAGGTAGAGATTATAGATCTTTAGATGAAATTGTTGATTTTTTGGCCTCTTTGAAAATGTGATGGCTGTTTTGGCCTGTTTTTGTTCCCTTGGGATGCGCTCCCCTTTTGAGCGCTTTTTATAAAATTCTAACTTATCAAAAAAAAAAAAAAAAAGATTGGATGGGGAAGCTTGCAAGTTATATAATCCACACACCGATTCTATGAAAAATTTTAGGAAGCCTGGAACCATATGATAATTCTGACAATATGTTTCCTGATGCTTTGCTTGGAGATTTACAATGAAAATAGTTGTTTTCAATATAATTGTGAAGGAGTATTCCATTCCTAAGGTTTACTATCTACTCTGGTGACAATAACAGTAATCATCTCAAACAAACTCAATTTACTGCGACATTTGATGATTATCATTGCAATGTGTAATTACTTATCAAAAAAAATCATTGCAATGTGTAATGCATCATCATATTCATATATCCTTGACCTTGATTGTCTCTCTCCTCAGTTCAATGATATTGAAACTTTTTTCTTTCATCCAACAAGGTAAACCATATAGCAGTAAATGAAGTACTTTGTTTTTATCTCCTTTATATATATATTTTCTAAGTTCCTTTTTATATTTTCTAGGTAACCAATCAGATAAGATAATTATTGTTATTGTAAGTCCATTGTTTTTTCCAGTAAGTATTATGTAATATGATGTTCGGTTCTATCTTTATAGTTCGTCTTGAGACGAGAAAAAAAAATAAAAAATTAATGTTGCTAAGAGACTAAATTGTTTGATATATTTGCATTTTCTTGTGTTAACCTTCCTTTAGGATCACTAATTTGAACGGTCAACTAATGGGGTAAAACTCATTGATAGAATTGTAGAAGTTGTCATAATAGTTCTTTTTGATGATTTAAACACAGTACTAATGAGCCATTGATTGCTGCAGATTTCTAACATCAAACTCAATTTTACTTTGATGCAGATTGCTTCTTTCTTGTTATATTTATCTGATGTTGAAGAAGGTGGAGAAACAATGTTCCCTTATAAGGTAGGACTGGACCCTTATTTCCCAATTTTTTTTTTCTTTTTTTTCTTTTTCATTTTCCATGAGGATGTGTTTATGTATGTGGGCAAGAACATGTGTTCAAATAAAAGACGGTCACCATATCCTTTTTTTGCAGAATGGATTTCACATGTATGGAAACTACGATTTTCACAAGTGTATTGGTATGAAAGTGAAGCCGCGCCAAGGGGATGGGCTTCTTTTCTATTCACTGTTTCCAAATGGTACAATTGATCGGGTGAGTGTTTCTTCTCGCTATCAAAAAAAGCTAGTATCATCCTCTTTATCTGAATACATAATAATAAAAAATGCAAATTGGCCAAATAATATATACTCCGTAAATGATTAGTTGATAACTAGTTGGCAACCTTTTGAATTATACCAGTAGGTTTGTATAAATCCAAAGTGAATGATCATGACCCTTGTTGCAATCTCTGTGAATGGAGAAAACTGTGAAATATATAAGGGCTAGCCTAGAGCACGAGACTCCCACCATTGGAGGGTCAAATGTACGTAGCCTTGCGTTCGCATGGAGCGGATGCAATAAAGTGAGGCGAAAATAGGTATTGTGTCACAAGTTAGTTCTTCACCAACCAGAGCATTGCCCTGTAAATTTCCTTAGCAAAGGTGATTTTATTTATTCATTTATTTTTTCTTTTACCCTGTCAAGAAACTCATACACCCACTTTTGTCCTTTTGGGGGACTTAACCCTCAACCTTCTAATTTGGAAGGTGAGGAAGTACTTCTAAGCTACAACTCTTGTGGTCTTAGAGAAGGTAATTGATTTTGTGTGTGTGAGATATGAGTTTTTCGATTTATACTTGCAAGCAAAACTTGGCTGACCCCAATCAAATGGGACCAAGGCATGGATGATGATAATATTTGTGAGCAAAAATGATAGATCAACATGTCCAGTTATGTTTTATGGAGAAGAAAGTTGGACAAACAATAAATGATCTGGTCACTGAGAGGAATATTTACATTGACGTGCCCAATTATGTTTTATGGTTATTAGTCCAGCTATATTGTATGGAGTAGGGTGTTTGGTGTTGAAAAATGAAAAACAATAGGGTGAAACTAAGAATAATGCCTATGATATAATTAGAGAAAGTAGACTTAAGTGGTATGATAATATACAACGTAAATTTGAAAATGCACCGGTAAGAAGAGGAAGAATTGTTTGCATAGAAGGTAATTGACATAGGAGCCGACCAAAACTTACCTAGGATGAAGTAAATTATAAATGATTTTGAAACATTATATTTTAGAGGATACATAGTATATAATAGAAAAAAATGGTAATGGAGAATTTATGTGACTGATTTCATCCATACAGAGGACGAAGGCACGGATAATGAAGATAGGAATAGTTACATCAAAAATTGAGGTGCAAACTGAGTGAGGATTATTGAATAAGATAGATTTGAATAGACGTGGTGATTCCAATCTAAATAGTTTGTGTCATATGGAGAGAAGACTAATGATAGCACTGTAAGATGTAAGTTGGCATGAGTTGAGTCTGCTTGAAGAGCTGATCAAAGTGTCAGTCAAGTGACTGCTGTATAAATACATCCACCCGATATTATAGTCGAAATTTATCTTTTAAAATTTCATTGAAAGTTCATACACTAGAGACGCATGAGGAAAGAACATATCTTATGCTTTTTTCTGTTTTGTGCATCTGTATATAAAAATGAGTCGATGATAAGTATAATTTTCGACAGTGAGAGCATATCACTAGTGTTACTTTGGAAATGTTCTGGACATCTAGATTTGCAAGAGTTGCAATCTTGTTCTGGAGATTTATGATAAACATGGTTCATTTCTATATTCACCACTACTTTATTGGCTTCTGATTGTTGCCGTTATTGTATGCTACTGCAGATGTCACTGCACGGGAGCTGTCCGGTAATCAAAGGGGAGAAATGGGTAGCCACAAAGTGGATCAGGGATCACAGACGAGGGAGACGATGGATCAAAAACTGAAATGATTAGATGTTTGTACCCAAATCAATACATTCTTCATTTCTTTGATCCGTAGACATCTTTTTTCTTTTTCTTTTTTTAATTTGAGTTTCAAAGGAACTTTGTTGTGGAATTGCTGCAATATCTGCCAATTTTCCCGACAAAATGTAGCCGTAAGATGCAATTGATCTGGGCTGCTGTGGGCAGATGCTGCACTAATCATGCCTTGGAAATACCTTCTTTTCAAGAAAGGGAAAAAAATGGTGTACTAGGTGAACTCTTTCGAGAAATGATGGCAGAATGCCAATATCATTCTGTCCAGCAACATTAAACTGTTTATCAAAACTAGATGATTTTTGACAAAATGTCTCGATAATGCCGTTTTTATTATTTTTCTGTGTTTTACTGTTTTCTCTCATCTATCGGAAGAGGTCAGTCTTAAAATTGGACTTTCTCGCTCAATGAATGACGACTGTTGGTAGCCTAATTTGTAAGATGAGGTGGCTCACAGTGGTGTTTCTCATCCACGGTCAAACTGTGGTTGGGCAGTCAATTTTTAATGAATTAATATATTTAAAGAATATTTTGAAAATCTTTCTAAAATGTGGCCATTGAACCTCGAACTAGGCAATTTGCTGTTTGTACAATAAAAAAATGAACTAATATATTTAAAGAATATTTTGAAAATCTTTCTAAAACGGACCATATATTTTAAAACACCTTCCAACAATTTTTTCAAGCCCTGTCTAAGAATCATGGCTTTTGCCACCTCCGTACATACAACATTCTGCAAAAAGACTGTTGCCATATGCAAGACACAACCTGCAGAGTCGTGAAAAATCGAACTGCCACCACAAAGCTAAATCAGTAATGGACTTGTATAACCGGATCGATACGAACCGCGTATCGAACTTAAAAAATTTTAATCCATGCGTAGGCTTGTCTTGTTTTGTTGAAAGGTAGAAAAGGAAGGGAGGAAGTGAATAAAAGAATGAGTGATTAGACTATAAATTTATATTACCTACTTTAACCTTTATTTAATCACAAAATGACACGTTTTTACCCTTCTTCAATTTTAACCCACTGCAACCCTCCACATAAACAATACCGAACTCATGAGTCTTGACCAAGCTGCCAAAACTCATATTGTTCCTCTGATTTTGAATGCAGATTGTTCAATGAGGGAATAATTTTTTTTTTTTTTTTTGATGTTACCTACTCCAAAACTAATGGTTCATAATCCAAATTTTTTTGTTGAATTTAAAATTTTGAAAAATATAAATCGAGACATTGTTCACTTATAAAATTAAAGAGTCCAACCGTGAGTGAATTTGGGTAAAAATTATTGGTTCAAATGATAGTGGACTCTATTTGTATGTAATATTCACAAGTAGATATATTTATCGTCAAATTAGAGAAACTAAATTATTTAATGTTTTTTATATATTTTCTTGTCTAATTAGGTTTTTTTTTTTATTAAAAAACTTATAATAAATAGGTGATTTGAGTTTTATAGAAACTCTTATTACATCTTATACTAATTAAAAAAAAAAACCATAATAAATAGGTAATTTTTGTTAGAGTTTTATAGAAAAACTTATAAAAACCTTTTTTATATTAATTAATAAATATCTTTATATTTAAGAATGCACCAAAAATAAAAAATAAAAAATGGAAAAAAATTCAAAATTTTTACATACCAACAAGACTCAAAACAATAAATTAAGATTGAACCAATAATAATAATAATAATAATAATTGAAAAAAAAAATTTAGCAACAAAAAATTCAAAATTTTTCCATACCAACAAGACTCGAAACAATAAATTAAGACTGAAGAAAAAAAAAATTAACATACAAAAAATTTTAAGCAACAAATTCAATTCAAAATCAACAGAAAATAAAAAAACATTGAAACCCTATATTAAGAATGAACCAAAAATAAAAAAATAAAAACTGGAGAAAAAAATTACAATCCAAAGAAAACTTACACTAAGAGTAAAATAAAAATAAAAACAAAAGAAAAACGGAAAAAGAAGAATGATACTTCTTAAAAATAAAAAGTTATTAAAAAAATAGCAAAAATGACTCAAAATAATAATAAATTATGAATGAACCAAAAATAAAAAATAAAAAAATGAAGAAAAAAAATCACAATCCAAAGTAAACATTGAAACCCGACTCAAAATAATATATTAAGAATGAACCAAAAATAAAAAATAAAAACTTGAGAAAAAAATTACAATCCAAAGAAAACTTATAAAGAGTAAAATAAAAATAAAAACAAAAGAAAAAAGAAAAAAAGAAGAATGATACTTCTGAAAAATAAAAAGTAAAGAAAAAAAATAACAAAAATGACTCAAAATAATAATAAATTATGAATGAACCAAAAATAAAAAATAAAAAAAAGAAGAAAAAAAAATCACAATCCAAAGTAAACTTACCAAATCAATCACTTCTAAACATCAATTAGAAAGAAAAAAAATAAATAAAACAAATCAACTAATTCTAAACATCAATCAGAAAGAGAAAAATAAAAATAAAACAAAAGAAAAAAAAATGCTTATAAAAAAGAAAAAGTAAATAAAAAAATTAACAATCCAAGTTAAACTTACCAGATCAATAACAACTATTAATCCCTTTTCATCATGCGTTATATCACCTATTCAACACCAATTATAAAGAGAAAAGAAAAAATATGCACAACAAAAGCCCGATATGTTATATGTGATAGAGTTTTATAGAAAATAAAATAGGTAATTTGTGGTAGAGCTTTGTAGAAATTATTTTATTTTCTTTAAATATATCATTGTCTAATTAGATTTCCATTTATTTGAATTTTATTAGGTAATTAATAAAATTTTTTTAGAAACAAATAGATAAATAGGTAATTTGAATTTTATTTGGTAATTTGTAATTTTAATTTTATTACGTAATTTGAAAGTAGTGATTGAGTTTGAATTGAATTTTATTAGGTAATTGAGTTTGAGTTGAAAGTATCATTCTTCTTTTTATATCAATTAATAAATTGAGTTTGAGTATCATTATTGTCTAATTAGTATCATTCTTCTTTTGATATAAAAAAAATTCATTTTATATCAATTAATAAATATCTCTTTTTAGAAAAACTCTTTTTATATCAATTAATAAATATTTTTTTTATATTAATAAATAAATACTAAAATGCTAAAATACTGAAGTACTAAAATAGTACTGAAACTCTTTGCACTTTAAATAATTACTAGGAAAGGCACGTGCAATGCACGTGATGAATGTTTTGTAACTTATTTTATTATTTGGTAAATTATTTTATTAAACTATTACTTTAGTTGTTTTAATAATGATTTGAAATCTTTTATTTTAATTCATTTTATTCATAGAAACTCTTTTATTTTAATTCATTTTATATAAATTAATAAATATTTTTTTATTAATAAATAAATACTAAAATACTAAAAGAAAACAAAATAGCTAATTTGTGGTATAGTTTTATAGACTATTTTTTATATTAATAATTCTTGTCTAATTGGATTTCCTTTTATTAAAAAAGTCATAATAATAAGTAATTTGTGGTAGAGTTTTAGAAAAATTATTTAATTTTTTATATCAATTAATAAATATTTTTTATATTAATAATTCTTATCTAATTATATTTTCTTTTATTAAAAACTCATAATAAATAGATAAATAGGTAATTTGTGTTAGAGTTTTATAAAAACTCTTTTAAAAACTATTTTTATATCAATTAATAAATATTTTTTTATATTACTAATTGTTGTCTAATTAGATTTTTTTTCTTAAAAAACTCATAATAAATAAATAAATAGGTAATTTGTGTTAGAGTTTTATAGAAACTCTTTAAACATATCCTTGTCTAATGTGATAGAATTTTATTGAAAATAAAATTTTAATTTGTGTTAGACTTTTATAGAAATTATTTTATTTTCTTTAAATATATCATTGTCTAATTAGATTTTCTTTTATTAAAAAACTCATAACAAAAGGTAATTTGACGTAGAGTTTTAGAGAAATTATTTTATTTTTTATATCAATTAATAAATATTTTTTATATAAATAATTATTGGCTAATTAGAATTTCTTTTATTAAAAAACTCATAAAAAATAGATAAATAGGTAATGTAATGACCTGGTCATTTTTCTTCATTTTCTTTTTCTCAGATTTTTACGGATAATTTTTTTTCGTTGTCTTTTCTTTTCGGTGTTCGGTTTTTCATCACTTGGGGTCGTCTCGAGTGCTCAGAAATGATTTCTTAGACTCTTTCCTTTGGATTGACAATTTCTTTTAAGGACCGAGTCTTTTCCACATTTTTACTTTTTGGACACTATTCACTTTTCGTTTTTTTCCCGTTTGTCACTTTGTTGGCACAACCTCACTTTTCGTGTTCGGATTTGATTCCGATTTTGCATGCACCACGATATTTAAATTCTATGCTATGTATATTTTTACTTTTGTAGAAAAGCATGCTAGTTGCTTACTTTTTCGTAAAAGGGCATGAATGTATGGTTTCTTAGAAACATTCTTGATTTTTGGGGTTTTTGTGTAATTACTTAAAGTAATTATTTTTGCCTTGAGGACCATTTTGCAATTAAGTTTGCAATATATTTAGAGGAGGAACCTACTTGCAATTATTTTTGGGCTATTTTGGGATTATGGTTTTAAAGAGGGGTTTCTGTGTAATTGACCAAAGTTGTGTGTGTTGACCATGGTGCTAGTTCACATAGTGAATGGAGGATCTTTATATCCTCCACTCACATTTCATTTTCACCATTTTATCTTATCCCTCTCTTGAAAGAACCCTAGCCTCCATAGATGAAGCTTAAAGCCTTAAGCTCTAACTTTGATTTTTGAGAGCCTTCCATTGATTTCCAAGCTTAACCTTGGGAATACTTTTTGTTCTCCTCATCCTCCTCTTCATAACCCTAGAAGGGTTTACCGTTTTGAGCTTGCTTGCCTTGGATTCTAGAGAGACACTTTCCTAGTGAGGTAGGGGGTGTTATAGTTTATTATCTAAAGATTTTACTTGCTTTTGTAGTGAAATATAAGTTGTATGCATTTGTTTTATTAATTTGATAAATTAATGACTAATTGTAGTTTGCATATAACTCATTTTAGACTTGATATATGACATGGCCATGACTTGATTTTTGTTGTATATTAATTTGGGATGATTTAAATGAGTTTTCAAATCTAGAGATTTAATGAATTTAATTTGATTTAAATTCTACTTAATTGTATTTTGTTTGTATTCCATTTTAAACTTGATATATGACATGGCCATGGCTTAATCCTTGATATATATTAATTTTGGATCATTTGAACAGCCTTTGAAATCTAGAGATTTAATTAATTTAAAT